CGTTGACCTTGCTTTTAAAACACCCTAAAAGATCTTTTTTTTTTTTAAGATTTATTTTGAGAATCTTTGTTAGTCACGTTGTTTTTTGTATTACTGAATTTAAACTTGTTAAAATTTATCAATGAGCTGATCTGATGTATGCATTTAGATAACTTTGTGAGGTTTTGGAAATGCAGTTTAGTTGCTTATTTCAGCGACTGCATGTTTTTCTTTTCAGTTCACTTTGCTAAGCTTATATACCTAATTTTTGTTCCTGCATCTGTTGCTTCTAGAAATAGTCTAAATCTAGATTTCTATTTCCTCATGAGTCTGACTTCCATGCTTAACACTCCACTGAAATTGCTTCTACCCTGATCACAAATGACCTCTTCTTTGCTGAATCTGGTGATTACATTTCAGTTATTATAAACAATCTTTCTGTTTGATGAGATGTTGTTGGCCACTCGCTCTTATATTCTTGGAACTCGTTTCTCCTTAGTTGCCGTGATACCATTCTTTCCTTTTTTACCTCTTTTCTGCCTTCTAGTGGCTCCTTCTCAATCACCTTGCTCGACTCCCATTCCTCTGTTTTTTTCTCTTTTTTTTTTATTTTTTAATTTTTAAATTTTTTTTTATTTTGATATGCAGTCTAGCTCTGTTGCTAGCCTGGAGTGAGGTGGCATGATCTCAGCTCACTGCAACCTCTGCCTCCTGGGTTGAAGCAATTCTTCCTTAGCCTCCTGGGCAGCTGAGATTACTAGCAGGCACTGCCACACCCAGCTAATTTGTGTATTTTTAGTAGAGACAGGGTTTCACTGTGTTGGCCAGGATGGTCTCGGTCTCCTGACCTCATGATCCACCTGCCTCGGCCTCCCAAAGCACTGGGATTACAGGCGTGAGCCACCGTATCCAGCCAGTCCATGCCTCTATTTTTAAAATGTTGTTGTTCTCCGGTGTTTGTTCCCCAGCCCAATCCACCTCCAACATACATCTCTCAGCTCAGACTGCTTTTCTTAGCTTCTGGCCTGTATTAGCCACATATTGGATGTTTGTTCAGAGTTATGGGTACCCTGTTCCCCATTATCCACCCTCTCACCTGGCTGTATCATTGTATTAACTTAATGGTTCTCCAGACCATCCATCCTCTACCTCCCTACTGTTATTGCCAATACCACTTTAAACCATGCCATAGAGTCCCTGTTCTGGACTCCATGCCTGAGGGTCCTGTTCTGGCTTTCTTTCAGCCTTGCCATTCCATGTGGGGTGAGGATTTCATAGGGCCAAGGGGATAGGAACACTCTGTCCTCTACCCTCTAGCCTTAATGCAGTAGCTACACAAGACCCCAGAAGCAAGCCTTGCAATAAGCCTCTTTCCCAGGCCTGCTCTTCCACAAGAGTAGGCTGCATCCCTGCTGTATACTTCCTAGGCCTAAGGGATAGCTAATGGGCAGCTGTTTGGAGGGGATAGATGGAGCTTAGATGGAGTTTGGACCTTCATCTCCACAGACATACATGCAAAGTCCCGATATATAGGCCAGGACCAGAGGTCAGAAGAGAAGAAGGATCTGCAGAGACCTCCGTCTGTACTCTTGTCATAGTCAACACAAGCATAGGGCCAGGCCTAATTATTGCCTTCTTTTTCTTTATATTCCAGCTATAGTGCTGGTAAGCAATGCTTAACCTACTTTTAGGGATTCTTAAGGGCAAGCGCTTTAGTGTTTTAATTTTACATTCCCATTTGCCTGTCACAGTGCCTACCTAACACATGGTGACTACTCAATATATGTTTGTTGAATTAAGTAATAAATGCATAGTTAACATTTTATAATTATTTATTAAAATAAATAATTATTTTATTTCCTTTATTATCATTTTAAAGAGGTTATGGTATATTTATATGATTTTATGTGTTAAGGTCAGTGTTTTTCCAGAAAAAAATATGTATCTCTAATTTTGCATTCCTGTTAAATGGAAAAATTAGACTTAATATATAAAGGATTTTATTTTTAAATATTTTTTATAAATTTATTTCATAAAGTGGGGTTTGTTAATGGTAGGTGATAGAAAATAGTGTCAGGCAAACATGAAAATCTTGATATTACAGGTTACTCTAACATCAACAGTGCTTAAGAACAGTTATATCATATTAGAAACTGCTGAGCCCTGAGGGACGCTAGGATATAAGTTTGAAAAGGAGCAGAACTAAGTTCTGGAAAACTACGAGTGCTGGGAGGAGTGGGACTGGGTTTCCCTGCCAGGTTTCTCATGAATTCAGAGGCTAATTAGTTCTCCTACTGAGCTTGTTTATGAAGAGAGAGAGAGAGAGAGACACAGAGAGAGAGAGAGAGAGAGAGTGTGTGTGTGTGTGTGTGTGTGTGTGTATGATGACTTTTATAATGCAAAAGCATGTAATTACCTGCTGGTGAAACTTTACGTAACCTCGCTCCCCCTCCCCTATTGAAAGAGCACAATAAAAACAGGTTTTCAGGGGAATGTCAGACATCCATAGAGCAGCATTATGTGGTGTCTCCCCTGGGCCCAGCTTTAAGGAAAACTTTTTCGTTGTCTGTCTTTCTTAAACCCATGTTGATGTATTGGGAGCTGGTCTCCCCGATAATTATCTAAAATTGGAGTAACTTTAAAACACCATATCAGCTTGTTTTAATTCCTGAGATGATATTTAACTATGATAACGTATTGCCCTAGATTGGCCTCCGAAGTTCAAGGACCTTTAAACTGAGAACCCATCTGAAGTGTCCTAGTGCTATTCCTTCTTTGAATACTACTTTAACACGTACTGTGTCATAGTGAGAAATGTTCTGGTCCAAGAGTCTATTAAACTGGACTTGGATGGCTCTTAAATTATCTGAAACTCACATTCTCTGACTCTTACGTTTGCTGCTTGGATAATAGTCTATTTGTGATCCCACTGAGAGGTAACAAAGAGTTGAACCATGGCAGTAATTTGAGTTTTCTGCCTTAACTCTGAGGAGTCTGTCCATCTGTCCATCCTGCTCTGTCACCCAGGCACAATCTTGGCTCACTGCAACCTCTGCCTCCTAGGCTCAAGCAATTCTTATGCCTCAGCCTCCTGAGTAGCTGGGATGACAGGCATGTGCCACCATGCCCAGCTAATTTTTGTGTTTTTAGGAGAGGTAGGGTTTTGTCATGTTGGCCAGGCTGGTCTTGAACTCCTGGCCTCAAGTGATGCACCTGTCCTGGCCTCCCAAACTGCTGGGATTACAGGTGTGAGCCACTGTGCCTGGCCAGGAGTCCTACTTTTTTATCAGTCTTCTTGTTTGTTTTTCATTATTTCTTCCATTTTCTCCTTCTACCCTTAACATTTTTAGACATAGTAAAGTTTACTCATTCCAGGCCTTCTTCTAGTTGACATGAGTCTAACACCTCATTAAAAGTATTAAATATCAAAGCAGTCACTTTATGAGGCATCACACACTGTCTCGTGCCATCACCTGTAATGATTAAAGCCACTTAATGACGTTCTTGCTGGAATATTTCTGTGATAAAATGGCTGTGGGACAGCTTGGCTTCCACTGGCTTTTGTAGGAAGCAAATAGTTTAAATTGTTTCTGTCATCTAGAAAATAATTCCCCTTACACAGGGAGATTTTTAAATGTCTTGAGTTTTTAAAATGTGATACTATCAATGACACTTGGAGCTATGTTGCCTTCATATAATTTTTCCAACATTTATGAAGCTATGGGCAGCCCTAATTCATATATTTCACTTCCCACTCACTTCTGTTGCTTCATTAGGGCCCTTCCTCTCACATGTGCCTGTTTATTTTTCTCCTCTGCATTCAGAAAATTTTTTTTTCCCTAGCTGGCTTAAGATGGCAGTTAAAAAAGAAAAAAAGAGGATGTGAGACACATATAGTGCTTAGAAAGCAAAATAAGCAGAAGAAAAAGATGAGTTCATATCATGAAAATGTCACATGTACTCTTCCTTCCCTTTCCTCTACCTCCAAGGCAAGAGAGGTTGACATGTCTCCCTTTCTTGCCTATTCTGTTTTTGGACTTCTGGCCTCTTTTCTACTTCAAGGCTGCTCTTGATTGTGAATGTGTATATTGGGGATGGGAGAGCAATGGGAGAAAATGTCAACAAAGAACAAGAGTGCTAAGTAGAATATTGAGAAAAGGTCAGCAAGAGAATAAATGGAATGAAAGAAAGAAACTGCTCTTCATTAATCCTTACAATTATAGTCAGAATCAGAGTATGAGAACTGGAAGGGACTTAGTGATCCTGTCATTACAATACCTGAACCTAACAGCCCCTCCATAACCACATATTCAGCTTAAACTGATCTCCTCATTTCACGAGAGAAGAAATGGAACCCCACAAAGTTATGTTTTGTTCAGGGCTAGCTCTGAGCGTTGCTGGAGCCCATGTCTTCCAGTTCCTCAACTACTTTTTCTATTAGAAGATACTTTAATCACTATTTTATTTTTTGTATTTCCACCACTTTACAAAGAGTGGGTATGAAATGTTGAGCTCAACTCTAAGGCTATTAGCACTTAGTAGGTCTGTTAGTGAGTGGCAGTCTAGTAGAAGGAGGATGGATTTTGGAATCAGACCTGGATCTGAACTTCAACTCTACCTGCCAGCACTTGGGCAAGTTTCTTAATCTTTCCAAACCTAGGATTTTTCATCTCAGTAAATGGGGATCATAATAGCTACCACAAAGTGTGGTTATAGCAACTAAATGAAGCAAGGTTCTAAGTACTTACAAGAAGTACTTAGTTTTGATGGGCGGCACAAATCAGAGGCATCAGTAAATATTTGTGAAATGAATAAAGGTAACTGTTACTATGTTTGATCTCCTTCATAGGGAGTCAGCATACCTTTTTTAGAAGGTAAATCAACATATCTTTTAGGCACGTCATTCTTTACAGATATGTATACTTACTGCCACAGTAAAAATTTCTGTTTGGCACATTTCTTTTTGTCTTAGAAAATACCTGTTTCAAATACCTCACAGCCTTTTAATTTTTAAATTCCAGATTAATTCATGGAGGACAGATGTTAAATGGATTGGCAGGTCCAACTGTAATGAATGCAGCGCCATTTCTCTCCACGACGTGGTTTTCTGCAGATGAAAGGGCCACAGCCACAGCTATTGCATCAATGCTCAGTTATCTTGGGGGAGCATGTGCATTTTTAGTTGGACCACTTGTTGTTCCAGCTCCCAATGGGACATCACCTCTTTTTACTACAGAGAGCAGCAGGGCGCATATTAAAGATCGCATAGAGGCTGTGTTATATGCAGGTAATTTGAAGTTTATTTTCTTCTTGTTATGCCTTCTTTTTTATCTCAATCATCTTCACTCTACTTTTTATATAACAGATACTTCCATATGAAATATGTAAGAGGACTAATGTACATTTGCATACACTGTGCATTCCTTGCCATATAATATAGATTTGAAACTTACACCCTTCCTAGGAAGTTAAATTTTAAATTTATTATTGCCACATGGAGGGGTATTTCTTAATTTTAGTCTATTCTTCTATTTATAGTTAAGCACTGTGTAACACATTTTCTATGTCCTCTACAAATATCAGGATATAAAATGTCATGATTGACAATAGCCATTTGTTAAACATCTGTTGTTGGTAGATATTAAGCCCATTTTCTCCCTTACAGTTTCTCTATTATTGACTATGTTTTTTAACCTTATTTACCTTGATCATCTACAGTTTATCCTTGTCATTTCCTACTCTCTGTATGTTTAGTCTATTATTCAGGAATACTGACCTTCCTAAAATATTCTCTTTGAATTCTTTTATTTCTCGAGTCAAGCCCTGGTCCACTCTTATAGTATAGTCTCCTACAGATTTCCGTAGATATAGCCCCTCTCTCCATATGCCTGCTTATTATTTCCTCTGCATTCAGAAAACTTTTTGTAAGTGTTTACTATATGCCAAGCACTGCGCTAAGCACTAATTGGTAATGCCAACAATGAGACAATTATAATACAAATAAAGATACAGAGTTTGGGAGATCTAACTTGCCTGGGTTTGGAGGGAAGTTGAGGGGGCAGGAAAAGCTTCAACAAGAATGTAATAATTAAAGTTAAGAATTTTATAGGAGTTCACCAAGTGTTTAAATGGTTAGGTATTTCCATACAGAGGGAACAGTAACTGCAAAGGCAGGGAAGGTATGAGAGAGCTCAGTATGTCTAGGGAACTGCAAGTAATTGAGTATGCCCGGAGTGGTATAAATGTGTGTGTTTGGGTGTAGGTGACAAGGGGCAGAAAATGAGACTGGAACGATAAGGGACCCAATTATTCTGAACGTTGTTTAAACTTATTTGTTCACATATCAGCTTCACAAAATATGTTTTGAACTCCTGTGTATCTGTCACTATGCGAGTCACTGAGATAGGCATGATTCCTGGTGTAACAGAACTTATAGGGTCCTGAACGATACAGACAGGTAAATAGTTGTAAAACAGAGCAGTGAGTCTTATAAACCAAAGGCCTGCAATGGCTCTGAGAGCTTGGAGAAGGAGCACCTAACCCAGATTTTGGAGGTAAAGTAGAGTTTCCTAGATATGCAGCATCTAAATCAGAGCCTGAGGAATGAGAGAACAATGATGATTAAATACATTAGGTGGGAAGAAGATTATATTATAGAGAGGAATCCTTAGAGGAGAAACCCAGTGTAGGGAGACACCCTGGTACGTTCAAGCCCAGAGTGGCTTAGATCTGGCGAGAGTAGTACTAGGTGAAGCTAGAAAGGAAAGCAAGCCCCATGCAAGCCTTCTAAGTAGGGCTGAAGGGTTTGAGGTTCACCACGTTGTAGGCAAAGGCCACACTCTGAAGAATTGTATGTCAGAAAGTTATTTGATGATATTTACATTTCACAATATGGTTTAGAAGGATTAAAATTGAAAGCAAGGGTAGCAGCAGTATCTAAAGCATTTTACCTTCTATACACAACTCATTTCTTTTAAAGAAAAAATAAAAATGTAAAAATAAGTAAATAAAACCGAACATAGGTGAAACATAAGTTTTAAACTTCATTTGGTCATGTTATTCTTTTTAATGAAAACATAAGCAATGATTGTAATTTTTAATGATGTTAAGCACCGTTAAGCATATAGCAGTGCAGTACATGCAACTCATGGTTCCCATGCAGTCAAGCAGAAGCCCCTGCTCAAAGCTTCCCAGTTACTTCTTCATTGCTTTCATATCTGCCAGTCTACCTTTCTGAAATACTGACTTCATTCAATTAAAAATACTGTGCTAGATTTGTCATTTTTAAAAGTTAAAGATTCTTAAGTTATTCCAGACAAAGGTATCATAAGAAAATTAAACTATAGACTAATACCTCATATGAGTATAAACACAAAAGTCCTGAACAAAACACTAGCAAACTGAATCCAGCAACACTAAACGGATGATACACCATGACTAAATGGGATTTATTCCAGCAACATAAGGTTGGTTTATTAGAAACTCAATTTATGTCATATATCAGCAGATAAAAGGGAAGAAAGCATGATCATCGTAATAGATGAAGAAAAGGCATTTGACACATCCAACACCCTTTCAAGATAGAAACAATCAGAGATCTAGGAATAGATGGGAACACTCTCAACCTAATAAAAAGCATCTATTAAAAACCCACAGGAGGCCTGGCATGGTGGTCCATGCCTGTAATCCCAGCACTGTGGAAGGCTGATACAGGAGGATCACTTGAGGCCAGGAGTCTGAGACCAGCCTGGTCAACATAGCAAAACCCCATCCCTACTAAAAATACAAAAAAATTAGCCAGATTTGATGGCACATGCCTGTAATCCCAGTTACTCAGAAGGCTGAGGAATGAGAATCATTTGAGTCTGGGAGGCAGAGGTGATAATGTGAGCCAAGATCGCACCACTGCACTCCAGCCTGGGTGACAGAGCAAGATTCTGTCTCAAAAAACAAACAAAAAACGCACAGGTAACATCACATTTAACTTCTAGGATTATGAACAAAACAAGGGTGTCTGTTTTTCCATACCTTTTTAACACTGTGCAGGAGGTTCTAGGGAGTATCGCTGAACAAGAAAAGCAAAAGATATCCAGATTGTAAAGGAAGTAATAAAGAATATCCCTGTTGAAAATAACGTGATCTTTAATATAGAAAATTCTCTGGAATTCACTAAAAAACTATTAGATCTAAAAAAAGAGCTTAGCAAAGTTTTATGGTACAAGATTAATATGTAAAAATCAATTGTATATCTATATATTAGCAATGAATAATTTTGACATGCAATTTAATTTGCAGTAGTATCAAAAAGAATAAAATGTTTAGGAATAAACTTAACAAATGAAGTACAGAATTTATAATCTGAAGACTATAAAACACTTTTGAAAGAAATTAAAGAAGACCTAAACAAATGGGAAGACATTCCATGTTCATGTTGGAAGATTTAATATTGTGAAGATATCCCCAAATTTATCTGTAAATATAGTACAATTCCTTTTAAAATCCCAGCTGCCTTTGTTGCAGAAATCAACAAGGCAATCCTGAAATTTACATGAAAATGCAAAGGACTAGCAATATCCAAACCAATCTTGAAAAGGAACAAAATTGGAGAACTCACACTTCTCAACTTCAGAACTTATTACAAAGCTATGCTAATCAAGATAGCATAGTTAGTACTGGTATAAGGATAAGCATATAAATCAGTAGAACAGAAATGAGATTCTAAAAAGCTAAGCCATTACATTTATGATCCATTGACTTTTCAGAAGATCCCAAGATATTAAGGGCAAAAGTCTTTTCAGTAAATGGTAGAGGGGCATCTGAATGTCCAAATTCAGAATAAGGAATTTGAACCCTTTTCTTACACCATACATAAACATTAACTCAAACCTAAATGTGAGAGCTAAAACTAAAAATCTCTTAGAAGAAAGCTAAAGAGTAAATCTTTATGACCTTGGATTAAGTGAAGCCTTTTTATAAAAAGATACCAAAAGGACAGATGACAGAAGAAAAACAGATGAATTAGACTTCATCACAATTTAAAACTTTTGTACTTCAGAGAACCTAGAAAGTGAAAAAGACAGTCCACAGATGGGAGAAAATAGTTGCAAATCATATATCTGATAAGGGACTTATATCCGGATTATATAAAGCATTCTTATATATGACAACCCCATTAAGAAGTGGGCAAAGGACTAAAACACATTTCTCCCAAGAAAATGCACAAATGTACATCGAGCATATGAAAAAATACTCAATGTCATTAGTCATTAGGGAAATGCAAATCAAAACCATGATAAGATACACTTCACACCCAGTAGGATTACTGTAATCAATAAATTGGAAAATAGTAAGTGTTGGCAAGAAAGTAAAGAAATTAGAACCCCCATACACTCCCATATGTGGGAATGTAAAATGATATAACCACTTTGGAAACAGTTTGACAGTTTCTAAAAATGTTAAACATAGATTACCATACAATCTGGAAATTCTTCTAGATATAAACCCAAGTGAAATGAAAACATATACCCATGTAAAAACGTATACATGAGTGTTCATAGCAGCATTATTTGTAACAGCCAAAAAGTGGAAACAACCCAGATGTCTATCTACCGATAAGTAGATGAATAAAATGTGGTATATCCATACAATGGAATATTATTTGACAATAAAAAATAATAAAGTACTGATACATATTCCAACATGAATGACCCTTGAGAACATTATGCTAAATGAAAAGAGCTAGTCATAAAAGACCACATAGTATATGACCCCATTTATAGGAAATGTCCATAATACTCAAATCTGTACAGACTAAAAGTAGATCAGGTGTTGCTTAGGGCTGGGAGATTGGGAATAATGGGTACAGAGTTTCTTTTTGGGATGTTGAAAAAATTCTAAAATTGATTGTGGTTATGATTGCACAATTCTGCTAGTAAATGAAAAACCACTAGATTGTGCACTTTAAATGTGTGTGTTGTATGTCATGTGAATTGTATTTCATTGAAGTTGTTTACAAAATTGCCAATAGATGGTGAAAGAATATGAATAAGGCAATCATGAAAGACATATGAATGGCCGATACACATATGGAAGATGTTCCTTCAGTATTACTAATAATTAAAATAACTATAAATTAGAACAGTTCATTAACTTCTTGTTGCTTTTCAGATTGACAAAAAATAAACAGATTGAGAACACTGAAAAAAAGAAAAGAAAAATGGAACTGTTAACAATATTGTGTTTAAAAATTAGAAATCTTTAAAGTTCTAACTGAATTAAACAGAATTATCTGTGGTTAATTGTCTTATAGGAATGTTGGCCTTTTTGCTAAGAATACAGCCCTAGAATTAAAATTACCCAACTGAAAGGACCTGTAAAAATCGCTAAATTCAATTCCTTTATTGGCCTAGAAAGATTAAGGGATTTGCTCAAATTGCAAGATAATTAATGGCATAGACAGGTCTATATTCCAAGTTTCCTGACTTCTACTAGTGATATGCTTTCCTACAAAATTGGACACAGTTATCAAAAGCTGGAACTTCCAGGTGCCAGAATTATAGAGAGAAAGATTGGGATGCTAGAACCTTCCCTTCTATGATGGGGCCAAGTTAAGATTGTTTTTGGTATTCATTTTACTTCTGATTGTCTAATACTATACATTAGCTAGTTTTGTGTTTAAATTCTATTCTCTGTCTCTTTGTTTTTTTTTTTTTTATTTTTGGATGCCTTCTTGTTCAAATTTCCCATACAGTCTATGATTTGGGGCTGTCTTACATAGTGCATCAAACTATCCTATCATGAATTAAACAATCCTCCTATCCTGTTATTTCTTACCAATTTTTTTTTTCTGAGTGCCATACTTATTAGACGATCATCCTAGACCTGTTTCACAATCTCTTTTGTAGTAAGATACTGTTGGTTTATAATGTTTTCTCCATAGGGCAACATTTGTTTACTTCCTCAATCTTTTTATCTGTGTAGTGTGCCATAGTACCAGCATATACATCTTTGTTAGTATAACCTCTTACCAATTATTTGCTGAATTTTCTGTCTTTACATATTCATGTTCTTTTTTTTACTAGACTGAGCAATCTTGGCTAGAAACTATATTTTGCTTAACTTTATATACCTCAGACTCAGTTGATACTTAGTAAATATTTGTTAGGTAAATAAATACCTGAGAGGCCGGGCATGGTGGGTCACACCTGTAATTCCAGCACTTTGGGAGGCTGAGGCAGGAGGATGGCTTGAACATCGCTTGAGCTCAGGAGTTCGAGACCAGCCTGGACAACATGGTGAGACCCTATCTCTACAAAAAAATTTAAAAATTAGCCCGGCATGGTGGCATGCATCTGTGGTCCCAGGTGCTTGGGAGGTTGAGGCAGGAGGATCACTTGAGCCCAGGAGGTCAAGTCTGCAGTGAGCCATGTTTGTGCCACTGCATTCCACCCTGGGTGACAAAGCGAGACACTGTTTCAAAAAACAAATAAATACATGAAGTACTCAACTTTTTGTGTTGCCTGGTTAACATTTTACCAATTTTTTCTTTCAGAATTTGGAGTTGTCTGCTTAATATTTTCTGCAACACTAGCTTATTTCCCACCCCGACCTCCTCTTCCTCCCAGTGTTGCTGCAGCTAGCCAGCGCCTGAGTTATCGGAGGAGCTTTTGTAGATTATTAAGGTAAATATACTGAGAGTCATTGAATGGGTTTGACTGACACCTTCAAGATAACTTCAGATTTTAAAAAATTAAGATAGTAATTTTTCAGCAACCTGTTAATTAGGTTGTAAATAATTGCTAAAATACTCATTGAATATTTTAGATTTCCTATCAGAAATCTTGAAAAATCACCAAAACCAGAAACCTCTATAATTTTTGCCTTCTCTGCATATCACCTATACTATTATTTGCTTAATATTTTAAAAATCAAATCTTTTATTTTTCTTAAATAATTTTCTTTTATAAAGAATCCCATATCATACAAGTCTGTGAAATCATAGATTCTGTGTGTTATACATTTCCTAATATGTACATTATTTTTATTATGTATTTGTTAAAGCATATTAAAATGAGCAGGTTCTAGTCAATACAAAGTGAATAAAATAAATAATGTTATTCACATATCACCTGAAATCATTATATGTACCAGCAGTGGGATCATAATTTAGGAAACTTAGTATATTATTTAATTTAATTGGAATAACTTAAGTGTAGTTAGATTAAATTCTACTTTTGAAGGCTTAAATACCAGTACTGAATTTAATTCTTGGGATATATAAAACATCACTATTGATTATGGTTTGCAGTTGGATCACTAGACTTAGTCATTTGAAAATTTTTTTACAGTTAGTTGTGATGAGTTTTTATTGATTATCAACAACTCTGTCTAAATTGGTTCTTTCTTTTCTTGGATTCCTCTCCCCAGATGGTAAGTTTCTTGTGGTCAAGAAGTAGTATCTATGTCTTTATATCTGCAGTAGTTATACTGTCCAATAGGAATAAAATACAAGATACATAAGTAATCTTACATTTTCTGGTAGTCTTCAATAAATTTTTAAAAATTGAAATCATATCAAATATATTCTCAGACCAGAGTGGAATAAAACTAGAAATCAACTCCAAAAGGAACCCTCAAAACTGCACAAACACAGAAATTAATCAGTCTACTCCTGAAGGATTTTGGGTTAACAGTGAAATTCAGATGGAAAGTAAATTCTTTAAAATTAACAGTAATGGTGCTGTAAGTTATTAAAACCTCTGGGATACAGCAGAAGCAGCACTGAGAGAAAGGTTTATAGCACTAAATGCCTACATCAAAAAGTCTGAAAAATTACAAATTGACAACCTAATGTCTCACCTCTAGAAACTGGAGAAATAACAAACCAAGACCAAAGCTAGCAGAAAAAAGAAAAAAACAAAGAGCAGAACTAAATGAAATTGAAACAAAAATTACAAAAAATAAGTGAAACAAAAAATTGGTTATTTGAAAAGGTAAAATTGATAGACCATTAGCTAGATTAACCAAGAAAAGAAGCTTTAGATAAGCTCAATTAAAAATGAAAATGGAGACATTACAGCCTACCCCACAGAAATACAAAAAATTATTCAAAACTACTATGAACACCTCTATGCACACAAATTTCTGGAATTATACAACCCTCCTAGATTAAATCAGAAAAAATAGAAACCCTGAATAGACCAATAATGAGCTGTGAGATTGATTCAGTAACTTAAAAATTGCCAACCGAAAAAGGCCATGGCCAGGCTGGCCAGGTGGATTTACAGTTGAATTCTACCAGACTTTCAATGAAGAATTGATACCAATCCTACTGAAACTCTTCCAAAAGATTAAGAAAGAGGGAATACTCCCTAACTCGTTCTATGAAGCCAGTATCACCCTGATACCAAAACTAGATTGAGAAGAGGGAATCCTCCCTAACTCATTCTATGAAGCCAGTGTCACCCTGATACCAAAACCAGAAAAAGACATAACAAAAAAGAAACCTACAGGCTAATGTCCTTGATGACCGTAGATACAAAAATCCTTTATAAAATACTAGCTAACTGAATCCAACAACACATCAGAAAGATAATACATCATGATCAAGTGGGTTTCATACCAGAGATGGTTTAAAATATGTAAGTCAAATGTGATATATCACATAAACAGAATTAACAAAAACAGTATGAACGTCTTAATAGATACAGAAAAAGCATTCAGTAGCATGCATAGAAGGGATGTACTTCAAAATAGTAAAAGCTATATATGACAAATCTACAGCCAACGTCATACTGAATAGGAAAATTTGAAAGCATTTCCCCAGAGAACTGGAACAAGACAAGGATGCCCACTTTCACCACTTTAGTTTGACAGTACTGGAAGTCCTGGCCAGAACAGTCAGGCAACAGAAAGAAACAAAGGGCATCCCAATTGGAAAAAGAGGAAGTCAAACTATCACTGTTTGCCAATGATATGATTATATCCCTAGAAAACTCTAAAGCCTTTTCCAAAAGACTTCTAGATTTGATAAATGAATTCAGTAAACTCTCATGTTACAAAATCAATGTACACAAATCAGTAGCACTGCTCTACACCAACAGTGACAAAGCTGGAATTCAGATGAATAACTCAATCCCCTTTACAATAGCTGCAAAATAAATAAATAAATAAAATACCCAGGAATATTCTTAACCAAGGAGGTGAAATATCTCTACAAGAACTACAAAACACTGCTGAAAGAAGACATAGATGACACAAATAAATGGAAACACATTCCATGCTCAGGGATTGGAAGAATCAATATTGTGAAAATGACCATACTACCTAAAACAATCTGCAGATTCAGTGCAGTTCCTATCAAAATACCAACATCATTTTTCACAAAATTAGAAAAATCCTAAAGTTTATACATAACCAAAAAAGAGTCCAAGTAGCCAAAGCAATCCTAAGCAAAAGGAACAAATCTGGAGGCATCACATTACCTGACTTCAAATTATACTGCAAGGGTATAGTTACTAAAACAGCATAGTACTGGTATAAAAGCAGTCAATGGAATAGTCCAATGGAACAGAATAGAGAATTCAGAAATAAGGCCAAATACATACAACCAACTAATCTTCAACAAAGGATACAACACCATTGGAGAAAGGATGCCCTACTTAATAAATGGTGCTGGGAAAACTGGCAAGCCACATATAGAAGAATGAAACTGGATCCCTGTCTCTCACCTTATACAAAAGTCAACTCAAGATGGATCAGAGACTGAAATATAAAATCTCAACCCATAAAAATTCTAGAAGATAATGTCAGAGAAACACTTTTGGACATTGGCCTAGGCAAAGAATTCATGACTGAGACCCCAAAAGTAAATGTAACAAAAACAAAAATAAATAAATGGGACCTAATTTAACAAAAAGCTTCTGTACAGCAAAAGAAATAATCATCAGAGTAAACAAACAGCCCACGGAATGGTTGAAAATATTTCAGACTCTGTATCTGACAGGAGACTAATATCTAGAGTCTACAAGGAACTCAAAACAGATCAGCAAGAAACGAAAAACAAATAACCTCATCAAAAAGTGTGTAAATGACATGAGCAGAAAACATTTCTCAGCAGAAAATATAAACAGCCAACAAACATAGGAAAAAATGCTTGACATCACTAATCATCAGGGAAATGTACATTAAAACCACAGTTAGATACCACCTTACCCTTGTAAGAATACCCATTATTAAAAAGTCAAAAAACAATAGATGATGACACAGATGCGGTAAAAAGGGAATGCTTTGGCACTGCTGGCAGGAACATAAGTTAGTACTACCTCTATTCAAAACAGTAAGGAGATTCCTTAAAAAACTAAAAGTAGATGTAGATGTACCATTCAACCCAGCAATCCCACTACTGGGTGTCTACCCAAAGGAAAAGAAGTCTTTGTATGAAAAAAACACATGCACATGCACACGTTTGTAGCAGCACAATTTGCAATTACAAAGATATGGAACCTACCTAAGTGCCCATCAACCAACGAGTAGGTAAAGAAAATGTAATACATATACACTATGGAATACTACTCAGCCATAAAAAAGAACAAAATGGTTTTTGCATCAACTTGTAGGGAGCTGGAAGCCATTATTCTAAGTGAAGTAACTCAGGAAAGGAAAATCAAACACTGTATGTTCTCACTTATAAGTGGGAGCTAAGCTATGGGTAGGCAAAGACAGACAGGTATAGTGGACTTTGGAGACTCAGAATGGGGAGGATGGCAGGGAGTGAAGGATTAAGAAATTACGTATTAGGTACACTGTACGCTACTCAGGTGTTGAGTGCATTAACATCTCAGACTTTACCACTGTGCAATTTATCTGTGTAACCAAAAATTATTTGTACCCCAAAAGCTATTGAAATTTTTTTAAAAAGTTTTAATTATCTGTATATTTGGGACAAAAATCTTAAAAATTTTTAATACTCTTATTTTAAAAGTAAAAATAAGTAAAATTAACCAGAAATAAGTAAAATTAGTTTTAAGAAATGAATAAAATTAATTTTAGTAGCATATTTTTTAACCCAACATATCTAAAACATTATTTTAACATGTAATCAATATTTAAAATTATTAATGAGATATGTTACAGTCTTTTATTCATATAAAATCCTTGATATCCAGTGGATATTTTGCACTTACAGCACATGTCAATTTGTACACCAACTTTTTACTGGAAATATTGATAACCAGTGAAATTAAGTGGAATACTTTATATCGCCAAATTTACAGTTGAAAAAGTATTCATTGAGCAATGTCTGTTGTATTGCACTGTTTATCCTAAGTTAAAAATAATTACAGTTTCTCAAATTTTGAATCAGCAGATATTTGCTATCATTATAAAGGATCTTACAATCTTTTTTGTTTTTTTGAGATGGAGTTTTTTTGAGGCTGGAGTGCAGTGGTGCGATCTTGGCTCACTGCAACCTCTGTCCCCCGGGTTCAAACAATTCTCCAGCCTCAGCCTTCTGAGTAGCTGGGACTACAGGCACAAGCCACCATGCCCAGCTAAATTTTTTGTATTTTTTAGTAGAGATGGGGTTTCACCATGTTGACCAGGATGGTCTTAATCTCTTGACCTCGTGATCTGCCCGCCTTGGCCTCCCAAAGTGCTGGAATTACAGGCATGAGCCACTGCACCCAACCCCAAATTGTTTTATAGCTGGCCAGATTGTAAGTTCAGATCTGTGAAAAATCATTTAAATGTTTGTTGGACATTTAATTCTGATTTCAGGCAACTAATTTTCTTGATTCTTTTTTGATCATTGAAAAAAAAGGTCTATAAAATTCACTATATGTTTGCTAAAATGTCTTTTAATGTTATTTACTTAATTATACTAAACTTTTTTTCCACAGCAGACATTTTATTTTGCTCTGCTGCAGCAAATTGTAATTGCTATTCTTTGTGAAATTTGCAACATGCCTTCTTCTATTTTGGTCTCTTCTTTCTACAGGAAATATTCAAATACACAAATTACAATGTCCATCAGTTTGTAGAAAAAATAATTAGAACTCAATCCATTCATTGACACCAAGATCAGTGATAGATTATAATACTAGAAACAACACATGCCCTGGCGTGCACACTATATAATATCTTAGTGTTGCAGCTGTTAAAGTAAAATGTAGTGCTACCAAACAGAGTTAGGTTTAATGGAAACTACTTTTCACTGCCTCTGCTTTAAATTTAGATTTAAATTAGTTAAAATGAAATAAAATTAAAAACTCAGTTCCTTGGTTGCACTAGCCACATTTCAAATGCTATGTAATATCGTTTTTCAAACTTTGGTTTACAGCCAAGTAATTCAGTGAGTTGACAGCCATTTTCTTTAAGCAAAATAGAATGGAATAAAATAGAATAGAAAATATTATTGCATCACATGTAATAATGGTTTATTTTAGACTTTTGTTTTAGCATATATGTTACATATATATGGGTAGGTCACAAAGTAAAAATAAGTTTCTTTGGGGTATAGTAAAAAATTTTTGAAAATGACTTCTCTGCAGCGTGTCACGTAGTACTTTGCCTTTCACATCATAGGTTAAAAAAATTTTTAGGTTGAATTGTGATTAGTGGCACACATTTGTAAGATGACAGTTTAAAACAATCGTTTTTTTTTTTTTTTTTGAAACAGTGTCACTTAAGTAAATTTTTTTCTATGCAAACCTAGCTGCAGATGTTAGATATAGCAATAGATAAAGGTAGAGAGGTAGATTGGGATCATATTATGACATACTAATAATTTTGGACTATTCTGTAGGAAATGATGAGTCACTGAAGGATTTTAAGCCAAGGAGTTATGTATAAGATTGTTCTGACAAGGAAAAACAGTTAACTTACAATTGTCCCTCTGACCATTTTGACTTGTGTTTACTTCTAATTACCATAGAGTCAAACTCTTCATTCTGTTTAAACCATAAAGTATAAGATCTTCCTTCTCTGCAAAAAGCTCTTTTCACCAGTACCTAACATTTGTTTGTCTTTTCTCTTATTGTTTACTCTGCATGATTGCCAGCTTCTACCTTTGGGATCTCCGGGGTAGTTCTGTGGGCCTGCCATGCCCCATTCCGTTAGTCTACCAGTGTAATTTCCCCCAGTCTCTCAATGAATTCCCGAAATCATTGCCTCCTGTATTAATCAGAATATTTTCTGGGACATGAACACATTTATTCATGTTTTTTTATTCATAATTTATATTTCCTTCTCCCATTTCCCTCCCCCAGCCTGGGCCACCTTTCAAATGCCTGTATCTTTTTGTCTCTGTACTTTTGCAGTATGTGTACTGCTTTGTAGGCATCTATGTTTAATTCATCTAAACTATGTCATATTGTGGATGTCATTCTGTTTGACTTTTTTCACTAGCACTACATGGGTTTTGTTTTTTTTTAAATTTTTCATCTTGGAATCTTACAATAATATACAAAGGTAGCATAGTATAATCCCTATAACTCAGTATCAACAATTGTCAATCAGTTTACAACCAGTCTTGTTTCATCTTTGTACCACCCACTTCCCACCTTCCTGCATCATGAAACAAATCCCAGATGACAACTTCATTTCATCCGGAAATATTTCAACATGTACAATATGTGTGAAAAATAGACTCTTTTTAACATAAATTTAATGCCATTATCTTAACTAAAAACTTTTAAATAATAATTTGCTAATATCAAATCAGTGTTTAAATTTTCAGTTATCTCATAAATATTGAACAGTTTTATTTGAACATGATCTACATTAGGTCCACACATTGCAATTGGTCCAAGTGCCTTAGAATCTGTAGGTTTGCTTTCCATGGTTCTTTTTTCCTTATAATTTAATTGTTGAAGTGCCAGCGTTTTTATTCCCAACTTCTGGATTTTCCTGGTTGCCTCATTGTATAGTTTGACATGTTCCTGTCTCCTTTGTGTTTCCTGTAAATTGTTAAGCAGAAGTATGCTCTGATTCAGGTTTTATTTTTCCTTTTGTTTTTTCTTTTTACAAGACTACTTCATAAGTGATACTGCCTCCTTTCATCAGGAGGCATAATGATATCTGGCCAGCTCTCGTTTTGTGATGTTAGCACTCTTTTCAAGATACATCCCTGCTGCTGTGTGTACACCTAGTTCTTTGTACTCCATGGTATTAATCTATCACATTTCATCTACTTATTCTCATTGTGTACCCAAATTGCCTCCAATTTATTGTTACGACATTGTTACTGCATTGACATCCTCATGCACGTCACCATAGACCTGAAAATTTCTTTGGAAAATAGACAATATGATTGCTAGGTCATAAGATAGTCTAAGCTTAATTTGTCAACTATTGCCAAATCGCAGTGCCATGATCATAGCACACAGTAACCACCTGCCTAATCCTCTCGATTAGCTGGGATTGCGGGTGCACACCACTATACCTGGCTAATTTAAAAATATTTTTGTAGAGATGAAGTCTCACTATTTTGCTCATGCTGGTCTCAAACTCCTGGCCGCAAGTGATTCTCCTACCTTGGTCTCCCGAAGTGCTGAGATTACAGGCATGAGCCACCATGGCTGGCCAGAGCTTTTTTTAAAACTACCTACTCATTTGGCGAAATAATATTTGTTATCTGTATAATAAGCCCTGACAATTGTAACAATATGATTGGCTCACACCCATAATCCCAGCACTTTGAGAGCCCAAAATGGGTGGATCACCTGAGGTCAGGAGTTCAAGACCAGCTGGCCAACATGGCAAAACCCCGTCTCTACTAAAAATACAAAAATTAACCAGGTATGCTGGCAAGGCGCCTGTAATCCCAGCTACTTGGGAGGCTGAGGCAGTAGAATCGCATGAACCTGGGAGGTGGAGGTTGCAGTGAGCCAAGATCATACTATTGCACTCCAGCCTGGGTGATAAGAGTGGAATTCCATCTAAAAAATAAAAAAAAAAAATTCCAAGAATCTTGAATTTATTAACTGACAGATTTTTTTCTTTTATAAAGCTTGCTACTTTGAGCTTCTTGAAGAATAACTATATGTATGTGTGTTTATATATACACATATGTGTGTGTGTGTGTGTGTGTGTGTGTGTATATATATATATTTAACTTACAGACTCGGTGCACATGCAGATTTGTTACATGGGTAAATTGCATGTTGTGAGGGTTTGGTGTACAGGTTATTTTGTCACCCAGATGATAAGCATAGTATCCAATAGGTAGTTTTTCTATCTTCACCCTCCTCCTACCCTGTACCCTCAAGTAGGCCCCAGTGTCTGTTGTTCCCTTCTTTGTGTCCATATGTACTTGATGTTAAACTCCCACTTCTAAGCGAGAATATGTGGTATTTGTTTTTCTATTCCTGTGTTAGTTTTCTTAGGATAATGGCCTCCTGCTCCCTCCATGTTGCTGCAGAGGTCGTTATCTTGTTTTTTTTTATGTCTGCGGAGTCGTCCATAGTGTATTTGTACCACATTTTCTTTATGTAGTCTACCATTGATGGGCATTTAGGTTGATTCCGTGTCTTTGCTATTGTGAATAGTGCTGCAGTGAATACACATGTGCATCTGTCTTTATAGTAGAATGATTTATATTCCTTTGGGCATATACCCAATAATGGGATTGCTGGGTCAAATGGTAATTCTGTTTTAAGTTCTTTCAGAAATTGCCAAACTGCCTTCCACAGTGGCTGAACTAATTTATACTTCCACCAACAGTGTACACACGTTCCGTTTTCTCTGCTACCTTACGAGCATGTTATTTTTTGGGGTTTTTAATAATAGCCATTCTGCAGATATTTTCTGTTTCTTATCTGATGTTCCACTTTCCAAATAACATACATTTTTCATGACTAAGAGTTTATTCTAGATTTTTAATTTGTTATAATCTTTCCTTTTATTTCCCATTCACAGCAATTTTAGATTTCTGATGATTGCTTTAGCATATGCCATACCACTTGGTGTATTTGCTGGCTGGTCTGGAGTTCTGGACTTAATTTTAACACCAGCACATGTCAGCCAAGTAAGTATTTTGTTTCCTTATATGTTATAGGTATTTTCATTCATTTCATTTATAAATACTGGTTACATGTTCTTGGTTTTAGCTTCAAGGACTGGGTAAAACATTGTCCTATACCATTGTTGCAAAAGCAAGATCTTTATAGAGTAGGTAAAAAATAATGTTGATTTTTCTTCCTTGATTTTGACAGTAGTTGTGAATTTCACATTTCTCTGGGCATTATTAATGATACTACTGGCTTTTTAAAAAAGGAAGGAAATATTAGTTTTGCTGACTCCATTCTTTATCATTACTTCATACTTCATAAAGAATATTAAGATCCCATCACCAAATATATAGCTGTTCCTTCATCTAGTTTCTTACTTTCTCTTTGGACTCCAAATAAGGGTATTTTATGTATTTAAAAATAATCATTTCACTTATATGCTTGATGCCATCCATTCCTCCTCTTTGCTTCCAGATAGTATGATAGAAATGGAGAGAGAGAAATTTGGAGAGGAAAACAGAAGAAAACACACTGATATGATATTCTGTTGTATGAGTAAAAAAACAATTTGTCCATTTTGTTTTTGATGAACATTTGGATTATTAACCATTTTTGACAGTCACAAACAATTCTGTATTAACACTCTCATACATGTCTCTTTATGCACCTCTATACACATTTCTGCTGGATACATATCTAGGAATGGAATTGCTGGTTATAGTATATACTACTTTGGCAGATGACGCCAAACTTCTCCAAGTGGTGATATCCATTTATAATCCTACCAGCAATACATGAAAATTTCTCGTCATCCCACATCATTTGCCATTTGTATGATAATATTAGTCTTTTTCACTTTAGACATGCTGATGGCTGTGCAGTTGTATGCCATCATAGTGACTTCTATGGTGTCTTTTCAATGTGAATTGGATATTTGAATATCCTTTATTTGTGACATACCAGTTTGCGTCTCTTGCCCACTATTGGGCTGCCTTTTTCTTACTGATATGTAAAGAAGAGAGCTGTGCAGAAGGGGGCTTCCCAGAGGACTCTGTGGAGACTCCGTTAATCTTTGGCTGAGAAATGGGATGCACATAAAAAGGGCAAAGTTACTAGAGGCTTAATAGAGAGAGTGGTATGGGTTGAAAGCAGAACAAAGATAGAAGAGGTCAAGCACTGTCTTGGGTTTTGGCCCAACCATAATGGTAACACCTCATTCACACTTTTTAACCAGAATAACCAAATTCTATAATCAAGGACCATGCCCTAGATAGAGGAGTTTAGGCTGATCATAAACAAAGACAAAAATCTGAAGAGGAGACAGTTTGGAGATCTACCCTTATAAAGCACAAAATGAGGTCTATAAAAGTTCAAAGTGATCAAGCAATAATTGAACTGCCTACTAGAACAAAAGTCGACCATTTTAGAAAAGATAAAAAGAATCCAGAATCTCTTTATTGTATCATCCACAACATATAGTATACAATTAAAAGAAAATACGTTAGATGTGTAAAGGAGCAGGAAAGTGTGACCCCTATTTGGCCGGGCGTGTAATCCCAACACTTTGGGAGACCAAGGAGGGCAGATCATTCATGAGCTTAGGAGTTTGAGACCAGCCTGGCCAATGTGGTGAAACTCCATCTCTACTAAAAATACAAAAATTAGGCGGGCGTGGTGGTGCGTGCCTGTAGTCCCAGCTACTTGGGAGGCTGAGGCAGAAGAATCGCTTGAACCTGGGAGGCAGAGGTTGCAGCGAGCTGACATGACACCATAGCACTCTGGCCTGTGTGACAGAGTGAGACTCTATCTCAAAAAAATAAATAAATAAAATTTAAAAATCAATCATTAGAAATCAACTCTTAAATACCCTAGATGTTGGATTTAGCAGACTGAGGCTGTAATGCAGAAAAGAGAAAAATAAATCTTTGTTCCAAGTTCATAAATATGTTTTCTTGTACAACTATGTTATCCTGTATGGTAGCTACTAGACACATTCAAATCAAATTTCAAACTTAATTTGAAATTTAAACCAACTGAAATGAAATAAAAATTAAAAAATCAATTTTTTAGTTGCAGTAGCACTTTGCAAATGTGGGATAGCCACATGAGACTAGTAGCTACCATGTTGCCTGGTGTAGATGGAGAACATTTCTGTCATCAAAGAAAGTTCTATTGGACAATGCTGTTCTAGAGCTTTGTTATCTTACCTGTCACATTTAAACCTAGAATTGATTTTGTACTTGTTATAAGATAGGGGTTAGGTTTCTTTTTCCCCATAGATATTTGTTAATCTAGTATCAGTGTTCGAAAAGATCATTTTTTTCTTCACTGCTGTCTGTTCATCTTTGTTGTAAGCAAGTCCCCTTATATACACAGGTGTATTTCTAGACTTTATTCCTTTAGCCTGTTTGTCTGTCCCTGCACCAATACCAAATTGTATTATTTATATTAGTGTCACAAATAAGTACTAGTTTTGATATTTAGTAAAGCAAATATCCCCCTTTATTGGGATTTCTATTAGAGTTTTTATATCTACAGATCATTTTCAAAATTAACTCCTTTATAATGTTGAGCTTTCTGAACCATGATCATTATATTTCTCCTCATTTACTTAGGTCCCAATGTCTTTGAATGTTGCTTTATAATTTTCAGCAAAGATACCTTCTATATGTTTGTTAGCTTTATTCTCAGGTATTTGATACTTTTTGAAGCTATTGTAATTAGTAGCTTTTTAAATTTTTATTTTTCTTAAGATTGATGTATAATAGTTATACATATTTTGGAGGATATATAATATTTTGATATCTGTATACAGTATGTAATGATCAAATCAGTAAGAGGTCTATCCACCACCTCAGAGATTTATTTTTTCTTTGTGTTGGGAACCTTACAACTCTTCTCTTCTAGTTATTTTGGAATATACAATAAATTATTGTTAACTATAATTCCCCTCCTGTACTGTCAAGTACTAGAACTCACTCTTTCTATCTAACTGTATTTTTGTACTCCTTAACCAGCTTCTTGTCATCCTCCTGCCCTTCTTCATCAGCAGCTGGTAACTATCATTCTACTTTCTGCTTTCCTGAAATCCACCTTTTTATTTCCCACATATGAGTGAGAACATGTAATATTTGTCCTTCTGTGCCTGGCTTATTTAACTTAACATAATGATTTCACTTAACATACATGTTGCTGCAAGTAACAGGATTTCATTCTTTTTTTGTGACTGAATAATATTCCATTGTGTATATATCTAGTGTTTTCTTGATGCATTCATTTGTTGACGACACTTAGTTGTTTCCAAACCTTGGCTGTTATGAATAGTGCTGCAGTAAACATGGGAGTGCAGATTTCTTTTTGATATACTGATTTCCTTTCTATTGGGTGTATACCCAGAAATGGGATTGCTGCATCATATGGTAGTTCTACTTTTAGTTTCCTAAGGAAACTCCATACTGTTTTCCATAATGGCTGTACTTCTTTAATTCCCACCAGGAGTGTCCAAGTACTCCTCTTTCTCCTTTTCCTTGTCAGCATTTGTTACTTTTTGTCTTTTTGGTGATAGCTAGCCTAACTGGGGTAAGATGATATCTCATTGTGATTTCTTTGTGCATTTCCCTGATTATTAGTGATGTTGAACATTTCTTTTTGTTTATTTGTTGGCCATTTTATGTCTTCTTTTAAGAAATGTCTTTTCAGGTTTTTTGCTCATTTAAAATGAGCAAAATTTTAAAAATTGGATTGGTTTTTTTTGCTGTTGAGTTGTTAGAGATCCTTATAGATAGTGGTTATTAATCCTTTGTTAAATGTATAGGTTGTGAATATTTCTCCCATTCTGTAGTTGTCTCTTCCCTCTGTTGTTTCCTTTGCTGTTCAGAAGCCTTTTAGCTTTATGTAATCTCATTTGTCTAGTTTTGCTTTTGTTGCTTGTGCTTTTGAGGCTGGACTCAAAAATTCTTTGCGCAGACCAGTATTCTGTAGTGTTCCCCCAATGTTTTCTTTTAATAGTTGCATAGTTTCAAGTCTTACATTTAACCCTTTTCCCTTTTATAAATAAATTTTTTAAAAAAGTACAGCTCACTGCCAGCACTCATTTAATTTTATATAAACATGCTCTTTGATGCTGAAGCAAATCTGATTTTCAATGTGAAAATAAAATTTAAAAACTGTTCTTGGAGTTATTTCTAAACAGAACTAACATCAGAATCATCTGAATCATCAGAATCATCTGTTTCAGAAAAATAGAATTCATCAAATGAATTTCTAGCCAACAACTGTTTGAAAATGATTTTAACATCACACATAGGAATGCTACTTTTTCTAGGATTTGGCATTTTCAGCAATTGAGAATCACTATATTTTGTAAATGGAAATACCACTACTAAAAACAGAATGCTATAAATGGAATGATGTCTTTTTTCTCCAAAGTTGATACACCAAGAGTGATGTGAAAATAGATATAAAAGCAAGATAGTTAATGGCAAAGATATGTTGGGGTAAATGCTGCAGCTGCAAAAGTGCCTCTGGTGAATATTCTCAGGGCAAATGGGAAAAGGATTAAATCTTTAATCCATTTTGAGTTGATTTTTTTTTTTTTTTTTTTTTTTTTTTTTGGAGACAGCATCTTGCTCTGTTGCCCTGGCTGGAGTATAGTGACAGAATCATGGCTCACTGCAGCCTCAGCTTCTTGGGTTTAAACAATCCTCCCACCTCAGCCATCTGAGTAGCTGAGAATACAGATGCACGCCACCATGCCCAGCTAATTTTTTCGAATTTTGTAGAAACAAATCTCTGTGTTGTGAGGCTGGTCTGGAACTCCTGAGCTCAAACAGACCTTGCACTTTGGCCTCCCAAAGTGTGGGCCATACTTGGCCATCTTTGTGTTTTAATTGGAGTATTTAGCCCATTTATATTTAATATGATTATAGACAATTTTGGGTTTAGACCTACTATCTTACTATTTATTGGTCTTTATTTTGTTCAGCCCTGTCTATTCTTTCTGTCTTCTTTCTTACCT